GGGATAAAGTTTCGGTTTTTTAAATATCATTTTTAGAATACTTTTTTGAAAAACATCTAAATTATAGATATGTGAGGAAGATGCAGCTCCCCATGCTAATATACCATATGTGAGATGAGGCTCAATCAGTGCATGGTATAATGTTCGAAGATATTTCTCTGTCAATATATTCCCAAGGTATTTAATTTTGTAGGATACAAATCTAACTTTCTTTAAAATATAATTGACATGGATGTCCCATCGTAAGTGAGGATCCAAGACCACTCCAAGGTATTTTATGTTGGGCACTCTATTAATTTGCATTTTTTGATCATTAATGTTGAAGGAGAAATTTGTGTAATTTGGCAGATGTTTAGCATAAGATCCAAATGGTAAAAAATGTGTTTTAGAGTAGTTAATGCTTAATTTTCTACTGTTAAACCACCGAATAATTTTGATAAAATCATTTTCAATTACATTTTTCAGATCAGACCAGTCAGTACCTTCATATAATATTGCAGTATCATCTGCAAAACTAGTTATTTTTCCAACACAATTAATTTGGAAAATATCATTTAAATATACAGGGTGACTTTGAAGTTGAGTCATTAATTTTCAGATAATGATTGTAGAAGGAAGATAAACCAAAATATGTGTGTAAAAATAAAAAAAAAATTAAAAAAAAATTTTACCTTGTTTTATAAAGTATCCTCCCGACAAGTATTTCAGTGCGGACCTGTATTTGATCGTGAGGTCCCCTGTGAGGTCTTAAGTCACCTGATTCACGAGCCCGTTGTACTACATTAACAAAGGCACGAGGGGTTGGTTGCACTCGATTGGGAAACCGATCCGCATGTGCCATTTTTTATTTCGTTTGAGCCACGCAACAGACACTATTCACACGCGACTGAAACTGACTGTATGTATAACTGAACTGAATTGTAATCGTAAAAACATCGTTCCAAATTCTTTCGCTTTTTTGTTTCCGATGCGATGAACCGTTGTTGCCAAACACGAACACATGATATTATTGAGACAGGGCGGTACTCAAACTTCCAAAGGGCTATAACTTTGTTACTTTAATTTTACCAGAAAAATGGTAAAGGAAAAAACATTTCTTTTGATCAGATCTACACACTGTTAAAATAAATGACTCAACTTCGAAGTCACCCTGTATATTGAATAACAGCGGACCTAAGACAGTTCCTTGTGGGACACCACACTTAATATACATTTCTTTAGTAAATGATCCTGATATCTACACAGATTGTGGGCGATTTGAGAAATAATTTTTCATCAGTGAGTACGCATTTCCTCTGAAACCAATTCTCTCCAATGCTTCTAATAATAATTTGTGATTAACTGTGTCGAAAGCTTTCTTTAGATCAACAAAAATGCAGATTGAAGGGATTCTGTTATCAATATTTTGATATATTTGATTTACAATTTTAGTTATTGCGTCCGATGTAGCCTTCCCTTCTGTAAATCCATATTGATTTTCACTTAAAATTTTGAATTTTGTGAAGTATCGAATCATTCTAGTAGATAAAACTTTTTCAAAAACCTTTGCTACACTGGATATTATTGATATTGGTCTATAGTTGTTAACATCTGTTCTTGTTCCTGATTTATGTATCGGTATTATATTACCTTTTTTTTTTAAATTGAGGGATATATGCCAGATTCAAAGCATTTGTTGATTAGGTAAGTGAGTGGTTCTGTTATGTCCTCGGCTATAATTTTCAAATGCTCGCTTTTAATACCATCGAACCCAGGACTTTTCCGATTTTTTAAGGACATAACAGTGGTGTATACTTCACATTGCTGGACTTTATCCAAAATAAATGAGTTCAAAGTTCTTTTTGGAGGCTGAGTATTTGGTACATTTGGTTGTATATTACTTGCTAAATTTTCGCCTATGTCAGTAAAGAATTGTACAAATTCATCGCATATCTGTTGAGTATTTTTTAATACTGTTCCCGATGTTGTATTTAACTCTTTAAATTTTGTTTCCCAGTAATCTCATCAATAGTTGTCCAAAGCCGCTTAGTAGTAATATCGAATAAGAGTTTTATCGAAATCCGAGCGGTACTTCTCAAATCATATTCGATTATAAGCGGACAGACCGACAGACAGACAGATCGACGGAAATGAGCGACATGGGTTGTATACAAGATCCAACAAACATGATACCTTCTTTTGGAAATTTTAGCGAATAAAATTCTTAGCCGTGGACGGTAAAACGTTTCCGTCTCCTATTACTTTCGACGTTATATTATTATTTACGTCCAATTTCCAATCATGATTTTTTGAAGAATACCAATAAAAATTGCTATTTGTTGTTTTTCCAACGAGACCACTATTCATGATGGCGTTTTTCGCGAAAGTGGTCCTATGAACCTGCGCACACTGTAAATCGAAAATAATTAATCAAAGTGAAATGAGTATAGAATATATATTATAGAATATATATTACGTGACAATTAACAAAACATTTGTTTTTACACGTGTCATAAAAATTGTTGGTATGCGTAACACATAAAAATAGCTTCTTGATAACTACTAATGACAATACATGTAAAACTATAATTGGTAAAAATAAAATAAAATATAATATAAAGGTGTAGTAGGCCAGATCACACACATAGGGGGGTCGCGATAAACTCATTCAAGGAATGAAAAAGATGTTTAACTAATTCTTGCCAAAGTGTATTTTTAAAATGTTTTAAAGTAAGATTCTTAGTAGTGTTTTTTAGCTTGTTATATACCCTAACATCAAGTGAGTTTTTATCTGAGATCTTTAGCCTGTGAGCGCTAGGTTGAAGTAGATTGGAATGCCTGGTGTTATATTCATGAACATCCGAGTGCATTGAGAATTTATGCCTGTTCTTATGAATCTCAACAAGGCTCTGATAGATGTACATTGAATAAATTGTAAGCATATTTAATCTTATAAAGAGAGGCCTACAGTGGTCACGATAACCAGCTCCCGCAAGAATTCTAATTGCTTTTTTTTGTTATATAAAGACTCTATTTATATGGGTAGAATTTCCCCAGATTAATAAGCCATATTGGATGTGAGAGACGATGAGGGAGTAATAAGCACTAACAAGACATTCATTACTAAGGCAAGTTTTTAGCCTGCGTAGTAAGAATATGTTTGTGGCAAGTTTGCTACATAGGGTTTTAATGTGCTTTGTCCATTTTAGTGAGCTATCAATTGTTATGCCAAGCAATTTTACACATTTGTTTTCTGCGAGAGAAGAGCTACTAGATACTACTAGCCTGTTAGTTTTGTCTGAGTTTAGGCATAAGCTATTCTGTTTAAACCAGTTGTTTGCCTTTTCTTCAAGCTGTTTAGATAGGCTTTGTAATATATGAAGATTTTTGTGACTCTTTATAAGGGTGGTGTCATCTGCGTACAATACACAAATATCTGGTAATAAGTAGTAATAAAGATCATTAATGTAAAGGGAAAAAGTATTGGTTCAAGTATGGATCCCTGAGGGACACCATACTTTACACCTTTAATTTCTGAATGTTTATTATTACTACTAACAAGCTGAGATCTTCCAGTCAGATATGATCTAAAAAAGCACAGAGACACCCCACGATAATAGTGCTCCATTTTACACACCAGCTTCTCATGATCCACACAGTCAAAGGCCTTGCTAAGGTCACAAAGGGTAATTTGTACACTTCTTCCCCCTTCAAGGCCCTGGACTATGTGGTCAATAAGTTCCGCTAGTGCATTTATGGTTGACAGACCTGGCTGAAAACCAAATTGTTTTGGATTAATGATGTTATTTATTTTTAAAAATTTTAAAAGGCGGTGCTTTAAAATTATTTCTAAAATTTTGACAAAGATAGGAATTATGGAAATGGGTCTAAAATTGTTTACATCAGTTAGGTCACCTTTTTTAAAAACTGGTACTACCTTACTAATCTTAAAAACATCAGGTAACATTCCGTGAGAAAGACAGGAGTTATTTAGATGAGCAAGTGGTGTGGCAAGAGTATTTGCACAGTGTTTTATTACTTTGCTGTTTAGGTCATAAATATCAAGAGATTGCTTATTTTTCAATTCACCAATAGCATTCAAAACATCTAGATGTGTAACAGGCTCCAGAAAAATTATGGTATTTAGCTCATTAATATTAAGATTAGGTAGGCTTTTTATTACATTTTTTGCTGCGGATACAAAAAAGTCGTGTTAAACATGTCTGATGTGATATCAGTTAATGTCATTGGTTTGGGTTTATTTCTTTCAAAATTTACTAGCCTCCAACAGTCCCTACTTTTATTTTCCGATGAATGAATAAAATTATTATATGCACTATATTTAGCGTGTCTAATTTTTTGTCTGTATTGTCTCTGAAAGGTTTTAAAGGCATTTTTTGACTGTTCATCTGTTTGATGCTCCGATATTGTTTTTAGAACCTGAAGAGAGGACCTAGCAGTCTTAAGTTCACTATTAAACCATTTTACTGTCTGTCTCTGAAAATGTTGCTTTTGCTTTTGTAATGGAAAATATAAATCTTTAAGTTCATTTATTGATTCTACGAGAAAAGAAGAGAGACTAATCACATCATGATTGACATAATATTTTGTCCAATCTATGTTGGATAACGAGAGATTTAAATAATTTAGGCTAGCGTTTGTGATTTTCCTAGTATGAACAATATTTTCTTTTTTAATAGAATTTAAATGTACAAGCATACCTTGGGCATAGTGGTCTGAGAGACAGGGATCTGTTACAGAAACTTTATATTCAGACTCGTCTAAATTTGTCAAAATATTATCTATGCAAGTTTTACTTGTGTTGGTCACTCTCGTATAATCAATAATTGTTGTTTTTAATCCAAAAGTCTTTATTAAATACTTGAGGTCTTGCAATTGTAATGAGTTGTTACAGAAGTCGGTATTAAAATCTCCAGCTATGACTATAATGATATACTTATGGCTGATATAAGTGAGTAATGCCTCAAAACCCTGAAGAAAATCATAAAAACAAGATTTACCTGTTCGATATAATGTTATGAATATTGCTTTGTTTGTTACTAATTCTACAGCACAGCATTCCAATGACAGCTCGGTGGTATAAGGCTTCAGATCGACAGGGATAAAAGAACTTCTAAGATCATCCAAAACAGAATGGCAACACCCCCATGAGCATGATCTGACCTACAAAACCAAGAGCATAAATTAAAATTTGGTATATTAACCGTTTTTAGTTGATCCTCACACAACCAGTGTTCAGAGAGGCATACAAGTTCAGTATCAGAATTTGTGTCACCTAAATAACAGGATAACTCGTCAATTTTATTTGATAAACATTGGATGTTTAAGTGAAAAACGCTAACTCTTTGAGCAATTTTACATATTTGGTTGTCAAGAACATTTAAAAAGAATGTTTAACATTATTATTGTCTCTATTATTTATATTATTTTGTTTTTGTGAGTGGTGGCTAGGATACCGCTTATTTTGGCTGTGCCTCCAGTCACGATTTACGTATCCGGAAGGCCTTCTATAGATCCACGTCTTGAGACGGACGCCACAGTTCCAATTTTGGGTCTTCATTATGGTATCTAATACGGTGTTTGGTACTGTTAAACGAAACGAGCTAAAACTTCCTCCTGTGTTTAACTTTTCAACTAAATAGTTCGACGTCGACAGATGATTTAAGTATTTCGTAACCATTTCTTCAGTTGTGTTGACGTCTAGGTTCGATAGGTGCAGGCGAGTTGTAAGGGTTGCTACCTTTAGAACTGAAAGTCCTTGAAGACCGTTCCGGCGGTGCTTAGTGTAGGCTCAACTTCACCTACGATGCTCAGTACCTTGTTATTTTCCCTAACCTTATTAATTTCTTGGTGGTTGCCACTGGTACCAGGAGATGGCAGCACTGGCGGCGACACGGAGGTTGATCTGGTGGATGTGCGGTGAGTACGACGACTTTGGGCTACGTTGTGAGGTGGCGCTGTATGATTTTGAGTGGTGTGGTTTGCGGAATGCGTGCTAGGTGGCATTTGAGTTGGAGCGTCTGAATTTTTACTTGAATTTCGGTGTTGCCATGGTTTTTCCAAAGTATTATTGTTTTTCTCCAAGATGGAGATTTTGAACAGCAATAAATTGTTTTTGTCGGCCATTTGACTTACGAGTTTATTAAGAAGTTCATTTTCACGTAACAATCGATCATTTTCTTTCATAAGATCGCTTATTACAACTTCATTCTGTGTCTTACGTTCCTCGCTCAGGATAATTGTGCCATTCTCCAACGTCACTGAACTGTTTAACGAGTTGTTTTCCAGGCAATTTTCACATACAAAATCACTATCTCTGGGTATTTCTTCATCTGCACACTTTTGATGAACCACATTTTCGCATTTCACACAATTATAACTATTTTTTGCGGTTTTTTTGTTGCATGTTATGCATTTTTCACTAGACATGTATTCGTTATGTAGATGCTGTCAGGTTGCCAAGATCTGACAGCATGCTACATAACGGAGAACAACATACTAAAATCTCAGCTAATTTGGTTAGCAAAAGATGTTCATCAATCTTTCGATGACATGCGTACTCTGTAACTCAGAAACTATGGATACTTCAGCCCTTTGACCATAAACTCGTAAATCGAATCGAACCATAGTCCAAAAGAGACTTTGTATCAGATTGGGATGAAGACCAACATACTGAAATTTCAGCCAACTTGCTTGGGAGCCAATTGCCATAAGGAATGCTTTGCCACGCTTGGGACTGGGAGGACATGTTTTCCACTCCTCGTACAAGGGGGTACTCATAATATAATATTTTAAGGACAAGCAATTGTAACTTTGTCATAATAAAATTTTTGGAAAACATAAAATCGGGGAAGCCCCCCCAAAATGCTTTCACGTTTTCAAAAAGCTTAACAACTTTTTGATTTGGGTCAGATGTACATAGGAATATAGAACAAATCGTACCGAGTACTTTCTGGGATGAAAATTAAAAGTTCATCGACGGGATCCGTTGGAGCAAAAAATAACATGCTAGCTTAAAATCCTACGTTATGGAGCCATTAAAAGGTAGTACCGGCGTGGTTTACAAACGATATACATTTTTTGTTGCTCTTTGGAATACCAATAAAAATATAGTCTTCCAAAAGTACAGAGATAGGTACAATACAAAAATCTGAAAGCACGGTGAGCGAGGAATTCGTCAATCATATACCTAATCCGTGGCTGCGCCTTTTATTGAATTTATGTCCAGTTACATTGTTCGAAGCGACAGTTTTCCACTACACAAGCTAAATTGTATGACATTAATTGCTTTCTGTGGTTACGATTTGGGTTGAATCGAAATATCGTAGACACATAAAGAATAAAAACACAGTTACCGTGGCGGGTATTTGAAAAATCTGTGCATGTGGAAATATGTATGGGACGACCTCTAATTTTACAGCTACTACGTAATAAGGATTGCCACGTAGTAGTGAAGCTGTCATATAAAACAATATTTAACATCTTGGTTTAATCTAATTCTTGTCGCTTAAGAAGAGTATTGACAATATCCGCATTTTCATGTAATGCATGCCTGGCCCTATATCCATGATGTATTTCTGTTTAGCCTTGTCGCTTTTCTAGAGCCGTCCAATTGCAGTTTCCCATAAAATCTCATTCGTAAGCGTCACTTGATGAGATGCTTTTACAACCGATGCTTTCTGCGAAATTAACAAATTTAATCACAAGTTCAGATTTTACAGCCCGTGTTAAAAAGAATTGGATCCAGAGGGCTGTGCTCAGCTTAAACTCCAGCCGTAGACTTTATGCTTGATCCGTTTATTTCCTGGCGTAGCTGTTAGTTAAGAAATAATCTTCCAGAGCTTACTGCGTGGCATATTTGTTTTTAATACTATCCAAGAGGACTAAAATCAAATAATACAAGAGGTGACATGCTTCTTTAAGATGTGAGGGTAGCGATTTTCATCGTAAAGGGACATCGAGTAGGAAAGATTGTTATGACCATTTAACAGTAACAAGCTTTAATTGTAAAGTTAAATCCCAGATAACCAACTTATGCACATTTAAATTACAGAAACTGCGACAACTCTATCCTTGTATCAAGATGAAGAAAAATGGCGGTAAGTAGATTGATTCCGGACTTTCAATGCAACATTAGTCCATAAAGGATCAGATTCGGTACAAGTCAGCCACTCTGAGAAGAAAGCTACGCAACTAACAATTATCACTCCAATTGTTGCAAGAACGATTATACAGTATTCCTTAAACAGCATTGTTTACTGTAATAACGTTGGCAAAACCCTCTTAGAACTGCTATACAAGCGGAATGGGCACACCTAATAGGACACTTCAGTCATTTAAGAGGTTGTATAAGGGCTGCAGGTAACAGTTATACAACAAAAGTGTAAGCCTCTTGCAGCCGCTATAGGACATTTGTGTCAGTGCAAGATTCAGTTTTTGTCAACTATACAACTATTCTGTTACGTGATTCTGCTTTATTGCAACCAAACTATTTCTTATGTATTGTATAGACAAAGAAGAATGTATAACTAACACATTACAGTCATCTTGTTTACTTACATATCGGCCATTGTGAATTTTATACACAGGTATATGATAAACCTCTACACTGTGATATAGGGCTATTGAATTACTTGCGCAGCAAATTTTATTGTGATTATCGTGCAAATTAGTTACGCAATTTCGACGGGCTTCGTATTTGATTCATATTTTGATAATGATCAAAAGTATGTCTAGATTTTTAAGATGGAAAACAGACTTATCTACGTTAAATCTTCCAAAAATCCTATATCTAGACGCAATTACACTAATGTTTATCACTTTATATCTGTAATTTCGAACTGAAACATAATTATTTAATATTAAATAGACGAATAAATGTTTGCCCAATACGACGGGTGGTTGTGTACAATCGTGGCATCGTCCATGTTGTCTTTAGGTTATTAGAATATTTTGGAGTTGCCTGCAGGTGTTATACAACAATTTGACAAATGTCTGAAATGAAATACCGACAGAATGATTTACCCAGAATTTGTACCAGATCTATATCTTCTGTTTGAACAGTTGATAAAACATTTTGAACCAATATGCATGCATCTTAAAACATTGGTTATGACATTTTAACAAAAACATGACAGCAGAAAGTTAGGTTATGGTGAAGTTGTAGACCAGCATATTTAGCATATGTACAGCCGTACAGTTGTATAAGTGCTTCCGTTGGGAGCAATTTGTTGGCTACAGTAGTAAATTGCACAGCAAAACAACAAGGGTCGGGTTTGTTTTATAAACGTTACCATGGATGCCACAACACAACCATTTTGACTAACGTGCAAATATGCCGTATAAAATAGTTGTATAAACGTTTATGCAACAGTTAAAATTTGCCCTATAAGGTGTTGTATAACTATGCTATAAGAATATTTTAAACACCTCACTTTAGAGCAAATATGTTGCAGAAAGCAAATTTGCATTCCACACAACATTAAGCCAGCATTTTGGTGTTCAGGCAACAACAATAGAGAGCTTTTATGGCTGAACGGTTCTTTTACCAAAAGCTGATACCACTACTTTGACACGCCTCCACTACTACCTCAATCCTTTGTCTGGAAATGTTGATGATGAGTCCCGGGAACGAAGCTTGAGAGGCTCTTATTTTTCATTATTTGCCGCCACAGGGTGTATTTTTGGAAACTACAAATCTCTTCTGTTTATAGTAACCGTGTGTCAAAATTTCATTAAAACCCTGGAGTACCTTTCAAATTATAGAGGAATCAATGGTTAGCGGACCGACAGCCCATCTTTTCCCCGAAATTTTTTCTTTTAAATCGTCACGACCCTTCGAAATGTCGAAAAGCGAGGGTTGGGAGATTCTTTTTTATCCTTTCTGCCTCTAGCGCCACCGAAAATTAAAGTTGGCAGACAGAGAGAACGACAGAATTGACAGAAAAATTCCCCACTTTTTTGAGATTACAATACTTTCTCTACAGGGGCATGGAGAAACTAGCTATCCGGCTGCTGGCGTTGAATTGTAGGCCATCTGTATCACTCATGCTTATCGTATCGAGTAGACCAGAAGTTGTGAAATCATTGAGTATTCATGTGTATTGAGGGATTGCGTGTGAATATTGTTAAGTCGGTCCTTATTCGTGTTTCATGCTCCGGTTGACATCCATAAGCAGTATTCTGCTTATTACGCTGTATTAAAAAAAATGAATCGCTTATGTCCTTCGAGGAATAATATATGTCATTTTCGTGTTCTCGGTGCTTTAGCTTCTTCATACCATTACATTTTTTGTTCCTTTGCAGCAGCAATAGCGTGCTGGATGTCATAAGGTGATTAAAAACAAGTTCACGAGTCTACCTTATTACATAATATCAAGACAGTGATGTGCTGGGGCGATAAATCATTTTTATAGCAGTGTTGCTACCTCGCGACGGGAATATTTAACAGGATGAGCGATCGATTGTATTTCCTGGCTGTTATTACTTCCATAATGGCCTTAACAGAGAAGAAACAATGCTTTTATAGGCATGACGCTGTATATTGGCTGTTTCGTGTAGTAAGCACGTGCCTTGTATCAACTTTGTGGATTTTTGACGTTGAAGACGAGCAGCACCTTTTTGGCAGAGTTGAGCCTTGCAAATAGCGACAGCTTTCGGAATGAATTTGAGATATCTGTTCAAGGCTAGAAAATACCACGAGGTCTGCAAATTAAGTGATGACACTGACTTTTTTAATTTTGTTCATGCAAATATAATTGCAATATTATATTGCAGCCCTCAAAATAACTTCTGAAGCCGCACAGGGCTGGAACTCCGATACTGGAATATAGCGATCTTCCTCGATCATTCTGACTGTTAACCGACGATCTGAACACACAATATCCCTCGATATTTTCAACGGTTCTTGAGGATGAAGGCCTTCCGCTTCGTAGTTCATCGTCAATCGACTCTCTCCCTGATGAAAATTCCATAAACCACCAAAAAACCTACTAACCCGTAGGCTTGTTGAAGATTAGCAAGAGTTTCCGTTTCACTGCTCCCAAGCCTGAAGCAAAACCTGATCGCACACCGTTGCTCGAAACTGATTCATTTTTAGAGCACAACAGGAGTAACTTTTTCGCACGTTGAGAGGCTGTTATCATCGAAAGTGCCTCGAAGATCAGTTCCCGGACCACTTCTTTTTACTTTATATATCTCCGATATTAATAAGGTTGTTAAACACTACAAAATTCGCTTTTTTCCCCTGTCACCCCACTACGCCTGGCGCCCCCAGCAGATCGAACGCTATGATGCCAGTCTCATCACTTAATTTTCAGACCTGGTATGTATACTAAGTATAGACGATATTCTAGATAGCAACAATTGTTATTGTTGCTCAGACGAGGGCTGCTCGACCAATTAACCTATTACGCTTCTGCGCACCTTTCCATAGTACCACGATGCTGGAGTTCAATACAATTCTGCTTACAGGGTTTGTCCGGAAAGTAATAAGACTCATTTTGTTCCGCCATGACTGTACT